TCTAAGAGACAAAGGTAACAGAAACTGTAACCAGAACTATCACCTGGGCAACTAAGAAACTGAAGTATACAGGCTTTGGGGGGACAGACCGTCCTTCTGCTCCAGTCCTTGCCAATTCTTTGTCCGTGCCGGAGGTTGAACCTTGGACCACTGAGCTACATCCTTAGTCCCCTTGCCAATTCTTTGGGTGAGACAGAAAGAGTGGAACCACTGGGCACGGCATTTGCCAGCGGTACTAGCACTAGGCCCAAAGTGCACGACAGCCTTTGCCTCCCAATGGGAGAAGTGTTGGGGCGAGAGAGCACCTCCATTGTCCTGAGGCTAAGTGGCAAGCAGAGAACAAGGTGGCACAGTGCCAAGGAATTCAAAGTGTGCAGGGCAAGGGAGAACTGCTTTTATATTTTCAGCCATGCTACATAATCAAATAAATAAGTGAGGACGAAATATGTTTCCCAGAAATCCTGCTGAGAGTATAAATTGGCGGTTCCTTCCTGGATGTTCAGGACAATTGAAATTACAACACTTGGGAGTGGTGCTGCTGGGGAATAAGCTCATCTTAAGCACATGCTGGACTCCTGAACTCCATACACCCGTCTCTTGGACCTGTACTAATCAGTAGCTGTGTCCCTTGTGTGTGTCTCTCTCTCTTTCCAGAGTCTCACTATGGAGTCCCAGCTGGCCTGAGCTGCCTTCTTCAGCCTCCCAGGTGCATGCCACCACTCCCAGCACCTCGCCTGCCTTAATGTAGCATTCCAGTTTAAGTGCTTCATGCTGTAAAGTGAGGAGACAATCACAAATTCACACCGGAATCTATAAAAATGAAGTACGGGGAACAACATTTTTACTACTGGATAATATTAAATGAAACAGGACAAAGCTATACTATGAGATGCAAACTGTAAATGAACAGCGCTGGAGCAGTGTCTGCTGATGACTCATCCCCTACCACGCTGCCTGGACCTGGCCAGGGACACTCACAGTCCAGGAGAGACCCTAAGTACACACCCACACTATCAGTGTACACTTGGAAAACGTGACAGATTCTGTGCAAGAGAAACCCCTGGGAATGTACACAGCGTGGTGCAGCTGTTAAAAACAGCTGTGTCAAAGCCTCAACAGAATCAGTGTGACATAAAGTTATTAAAAATTTGAGTCAGGTGTGGTGGCACACACCTGTATCCCAGCCCTTGGGAGGCTAAGGCAAGGGCATCATTGTGAGTTCAAGACCAGCCTGAGCTACAAAGTGAGCTCCAGGTCAACCTGAACTGCATAGCAAGACCCTGTCTCAAAAAGACAAAAAAGTATTATTAAAAAATTTAAAAAGACTGGGCTGGTGAGACGGCTCAGTGGTCTAAAGCACCTATTTAGAACAAGCTTAGCAGAGCACAGGGACTGTGGTTCCATCCCCCAGCACCATATGCCAGCCGGCTCCGCCCCCAGATGGGCTGAGCTGGCCAGAAAAAAAAAATATTAAAAAAAAATTTAAAAAGACTAATGCAGCCTTGGTTCAAGCAATGACAAGTCACAGTGATATTTAATGGGAAACACTGCAAGGCAAGAATGTCGACAGGAGGCTTTCCTGGAGAGGGTAGATAGGACAGGGCCATGCGCCCAGCAAGGAGCTTCAGCGTGCATGCTTGTTCCAGCCCAACAATATACTTTAAGGATGTATTTATTTATTTATTTATTTATTGTATTTTAGGGAAGGGTCTACAGAGTGTTCAGGGTCTCACTACCAGATCGGCCTCGTAGTGATTCTCCTGTTTACAGCATCCCAAGTGCTGGGATTACAGGTGCGTACCACCACCCCCAGTCTCAATGGCCATCTCAGTGAGCCCCAGGGTTGGGGCCAGCATAGCAGACCCTGGCATTGAACCCCTGGCCGCTGCACCTGCTTGCAGGCGCTTTAATCCACTGAGCATTTGGCCTTTGTTTTTTTTGTTTTTTGTTTGTTTTTTGGTGAAACCAGAGATCGAACTCAGGCCCTTGTGCTTGCCAGGCAAGCACTTATTCTATTGAACTATCTCCCCGGTCCCTCTGTTGCTTATTTTTTGATTAGGTCTTTTATTGGAGAGTGTCTGATTTTTTTGGAATTCTTTATTTTTTTATTTTATTTATTTATGTGTGTGTGTGTGTGTGTGTGTGTGTGTGTGTGTGTGTGTGTAGACCACCAGGGGGCGGGGCTGGCTGGCATGTGGTGCTGGTTGATTGAACCGGGGTCCCTGATGCTTTTGCTAAGCTTGTTCTAAGTAGGTGCTTTAGACCACTGAGCCATCTCACCAGCCCCTGGAATTCTTTATATATTCTAGATATTATTAACTTTTGTAAGTATAACTGGCAACATTTTTCTCTAATTCAATGACCGCTGCAGTTGCCACGGCCAGCACCGGCTCAACCCGGCCAGCAGAAGCCGCACTTGAGCCCCGGTCGCAACGATCTGCTCAGGGGTAGCGCGTGCGCTCCCCGCTGCAGCCGCTAGGAGGCGTACGTTCCCCCTCTCGCCCGCTCGCCCGCTCGCCCGGCACTGGTCCAGGTTTGCGCACGCGTAGTTCCTTCCGGCGTCGTCCAGCCCCTCTCCCTCCGCCCCAGTTGCGTTCAGTCGGCGTCTTCCGCGTATTCTCTGACGTCAGGGCGGCGGCAAGCGGAGCGGAAGTCCAGAGCGTCGACCGCTTGAACAAGGGAGGCTGGAGGGAAAAGCGGGGCCGGAAGTGGGACCAGCGTCCTTACGGTCCCCGCCCGCGAAACCCGAGAGAGGCGGTGCGGGCCGCGCGGGTGTGGCCTCGGGTGGCGGAGCGCTCTGCGATTGGCCGTCAGCCGTGGCGACCGCGACGATTGGCCTCTGCGAGCGGAGCTCGGTGAGACTAGGTGGCGGCCGTTGAAATTCAAAAGTGGCGGGTGTGGTGTGGCACGGGCGAGCGAGCAGCCGTCCGAGGCAGGAGTGCGCGTGCTGCGTGTCGCGAGCCGGCGGGCGCGCGTCCCGGCAGCCCGGCCCGTCCCCTCGCCTTGCGCTCCAGAGTGCGCGGCCGAGGCGGACATGGAGCGCCAGGTGAGTGCAGGGCGCCGGGGGACGGCGGAAGCGGCGGCCGGAGGGGGAGCGCGGAGCCGGGCCGCCCGCCCGCCCTGCGTCGGGTCTCGGGGCCGCCCGCTGCGGAAGCTCCATTCCTCTGTGCTGCTTTTTTTTTTCCTCTCCCCCTCTCCGTGCTTCTTGGGCGCGCGAGAAGGGAGCGCTCCGAGACCACCTCTGCCTTTGCGACGTGGTGTCTGAGCCCGAATCCCCGCGGGCTTCCCTGTACGTCGGGGTGCAGCAGAAGGGCGCGGGGCTGAGGTGACCTGGGCCGAAGCTCCTCATTCTTTCTCTTTGCCCGGGTTCCCTAGAGATCGCCGCACAGGAGGGCCGGGGCTGGCCTAGGTCCCACTGGTGAGCGGCTGCACCATATAATCTCCAGGGGTGACACCTGAGTGACAGCGGGCGCGTGCCGAGCGCAGGGGGCCGGCAGAGCCCCCCTCCTCATCTGCTCCTTTGTTTACTAGACACCCAAAGGCAAGATTCAGTCTGGATCGAGAGGCTGGCTAGGGCAGCAGCCCTAGGAGAGCGCTGTCACGTGACTGACAGCCAGGGAACGCCTCTTCGATTTATTCACCGAGTATTGTCCGAGCATCTCCTGTGTGGCAGGCGCAGTGATGAATTCTTAGGGTGCAGCTGTGAACCGTACACGCCCCAGCCGTCTGTGGGGAGCTGCCACTCCGCGGGGAGACAAACAGTATAAATGTAGTTATGGAACTACGAGGCAGCAATGAGTTCTGTGGAGAAAAGGAAAAACTCAAGCAGGTTAGGAGAGGAGAGGGGCCAGCTGGAGCGTTGCCGCGAACCCCGTGAGAAGGTCAGGGGAGGATAAAGCCTGCGGGCGGAGGCCTTGTGCCAGTGGGTACTGAGGCGGGCAGCCCGAACCAGAGCCACGCAGAGCCAGAGTGATGGGAAGTCGTGGGCAGAGATCAGTGCTGACGACGGGCTTGCTGGTTACAGTTCGCTGCTTACAGGATCCAGCGTGAGACCTATTTGGGGTTTTGTTTGTTTGTTTTGTGGTTATTTTGGTTGTACTGGGAATTGAACCTGGGACCTTCTCAGTGGGATGCGCCCCTGGGTCTGTTTTATTTTTTGAGACAGGGTCTTGCTAGGTAGCCTGAGACCAACAGTCCTCCTGCCTGTGCCTCCCTGCTTTAGGGGTTACAAGCATGTCCCATCATGCTGGGCTCTTCCCTGGGTTTCAGGGGTGGCTGCATAGCTGCCAGACCAAGAAGGGGCAGGGACAGATGGAAGCAAGGTGAAAATGTTAGCAGATTTTCTCAGCTTACATTTTATTTTATTTTTTTTTTCTTTTCAAAGTTTTATTGATAAACATATAGCAATGAGACAGTTTCAGATCAAATCGAAAGTACAGTTTCAACAAATAATACACTGCATATATTCTTCTTAGTGGTTAATTGCTGTACAAGATGCCGACTTGTGATCCTACTTACAAACACCATTAGAAAAAAATCATTCTATTCATTAAGAGAATGCAACTATATATCTATCCCAACCACTTTGAATACACAGATACAAAATGGACATTCATTGGTATACCCCAATTTTTTTAAGTTCCGTTGCTGAATATTATAGGTGTGTAAACTCAGCAAAATATTCTAAAAGAGTCCAGTAGCCCACAATAGCATTGGGTCTTCTGTTTAACTGGCAATGTCAGAAATTATTGACCTGAGTCCCCCACAGCTCAACATAACAACATGGCTTTACTTCCTATATTTCGTCTTCATACTTTTCTACTGGATGGTTAAGACCAAGGTAAAGCAGGACCTGCGCAACAAGAGTTGTAGCTTTTTGGTCTGAGAAGGTCAATGAAATGCCCTCAGGATTTGTCCTGAGATCCTGTACCTCAGATTGTAAAACCTTTGTCAGCGGCAGCCATGTGGATGAGTCACGGCCAATGCTTGGCCAGTGTGCTCTCTGTGAAAGCCTGAGAGAGTGTCTCAGCTTACATTTTAAACTTTTTATTAGTCCGTGTTTTCAGTAATAATTACATTCACCATGTGCCGGTGGGTGTGTGCAACACATCTTCTTTTTACTTCTTCCTCCATCCCTTTCCTTTTTCCCATGTGCAAAAGGTCAGATCTCCTTGTTTGTTCTTTTTCCCCCTTATTATCTTATCTTAATTTGCTCCTTAATTAATTATTTTCTAGCAGAACCAGGGATTGAACTCAGGCCCTTGCGCTTGCCAGGGAAGCGCTTATTCTACTGAGTCATCTCCCAGCCCCTGCTCTTTAATTTATACTTTGCGTTTCTCATATGAGAGACTATGTTATTGAAGCTTGTGTGTCTTGATTTATTTCCCTTAATTTTTGTGTGTGTGGCCGGCTCAGCCCACCCTTGCCTAAGCAGGCGCTTTAGACTGCTGAGATATCTCGCCAGCCCCCTATTTCACTTTAAGGTGCATCCATTTTCCTACAAATGACTCAGATTTACCCTTTATACATAGTACTCCGCTGTGTGTAAATACCACATTTTAAAAAATCTTTTATTTCTTTACTTATTTGGTACAGGGTCTTGCTACAACAGCTTGGACTCTTAGCGACCCTCTTGTCTCAGCCTCTCCAGGGCTGGGATTGCTGGCATGTACACCATGCCAGGTTTGGGGGCCAGCACTATGGGCCCAGAGTTTTGAGGCTGGCACGGCACGAGTACTGGGGATTGAACCCAGGTCCTTGCACTTGCCAGGCAGGTGCGTGGACCGATGAGCTCTCTCCCCAGCCCAGTAGCATATCTTTAATCCATTCATCTGTTGAAGGACACACAGGCTCTTCCAGGCGTCAGCTATGAAGAGTTGTGCTGCTGTAACATGTTCTCATTCACGAGCACACACGGATCACTGTAATATGTCTTTCACGTTTCAGGAAGATAACCGGAGGGCTTGGACAAGTAAAACTTCGATTTTAATTTTTTTTTTTTTTTTTTGCAGAACCGGGGATTGAACTCAGGCCCTTGCGCTTGCCAGGGGAAGCACTTATTCCACTGAGCCATCTCCCCAGCCCCTCAGTGTTGTTTTAATTTGAATTTCTCTAATGGTCAAAGATGTGAACGTTTTGCATGTATTTATTGGCTATATGTACTTCTGAGAAGTATGTTTCTGTGCCTTTTGGGGGAGGGGAAGACAGGCTGTCACTAGATAGCCCAGGCTGGTCTCAAACTCATGGGCATCCTCCTGTGTCAGCCTCCTGAGGGCTGGAGTTACAGGCATGTGCCACCGTGGCTTAGCTCTGTTGCTTTTTTTTTTTTTGGTGGAACTGGGGATTGAACTCAGGCCCTTGCGCTTGCCAGGGAAGCACTTATTCTACTGAACCATTTCCCCAGCCCCTCTGTTGCTTATTTTTTGATTAGGTTTTTTATTGGAGGGGGTCTGATTTTTTTTGGAATTCTTTATATATTCTAGATATCATTAACCTTTGGAAGCATAACTGGCAGCATTTTTCTCTAATTCTTTTTTTTTTTTTTCTTCTAATTCTTTAAGGTTGTCTTTACTTCGTTGGCTATTTCCTTTGATGTTGAAGTTTACACATTTTTTTTTCTTTTTTCCAAAGGGACTTTTTTTTTTTTTGGTCTTTTTTTTACTTTTTTCTTTTTTGGTACCGGGAATTGAACTCGGCCTCACACTGAGCCACATCCCTAGCCCTGAAGTTTATAAACTTGAACTTTTCCCCCAAGTGTGGTGGCACACGCCTGCAATCCCAGCACTTGGAAGGCTGAGGCATGAGGACCGCTGCAAGTTTGAGGTCACCCTGGGCTGTATAGTGAGTTCAAGGCCAGCCTGGTACACCTATCAAGACTCTGTCTCAAAAAACAAACCAAACAAAAAAAAAAAAACAGCCGGGGAGATAGCTCAATAAGGGCCTGAGTGCTACTGAGGAGTGCTACTGAGTGCTTTATTTGAACTCCATTAAATTTATATTTCAGTTTTCATAAGGTGGCCATTTTGACAATATTGATTCTGCCTACCTAGGAACAGGGGTTACTGATTTCTGTTTATTTTTATTTTTTTCCTTCTTTCTTTCCTCCTTTTTTTTGCGGGACTGGGGATTGAACTCATGACCTTGAACTTGCCAGGCAAGCACTTATTCTACTGAGCTATCTCCCCGGCCCCCCTACTTTGTTTTTCATTGTAGACATTTTTCACTTCCTCGGTTAGGTTAATTTCTAAATATTTAATTTTTCTTTATGCTATTGTCAGTGGTATTTTCCTAACTTTTTTCTTAGCAAGTTCATTATTGGTGTACAGGCACCTATTGATTTTTTTTGTGTATTTTAGGGAAGGGTCTACGGGGTGTTCAGGGTCTCACTACTAGATCCGACTCATAGTGATCTGCCTGTTTACAGTCTCCCAAGAGTTGGGATTACAGGCGCGTACCATCATGCCCAGTCTCAATTGCCATCTCAGCACGCCCTGGGGGTGGGGCTGGCACCGGTATAGCAGGCCATAGCAGGCCGGGGATCGAACCCCTGGTCCCTGCTCCTGCTTGTAGGTGCTTTAATCCACTGAGCTATTTGGTCGGCCCCTCACCTATTGATTTTTGTGTTTTGTATTGTGCTATGTTGCTGAATTTGGTTATTCTAGGAGTCTTTTGGTAGAATTTTTTGTCTTCTATGGAAAAGATCATGTCATCCACAAATGATAATTTGACTTCCTTTCTTCTATACATATCCTCTTAGTTTTTTTCTCTTAGCTGATTGCTTTGGCTAATCTTTCCAAGTAATATATTGAAGAATGGTGACGGTGGGGATATCCTTTTCTTGTTACTGATTTTGTTTTCATTTATTTATTTTTGCTTTTTTTTTTTTTTTTTTTTTGCGGAACCGGGGATTGAACTCGGGCCCTTGAGCATGCCAGGGAAGTGCTTATTCCACTGAGCCATCTCATGTAGTTCAGCCAGCCTTGAACTCACTGTATAGCCCAGGCTGGCCTCAGAGGATGATCCTCCTGCCTCAGCCTCTTGAGTTTG